GGAAGGGGAGGAATACGATGAAGAAAGGGGAAGAGGAGGAAGGGTAAGAAAAAGGAAGAAGAGGATAAGGAAGAGGAAGAGGAGTTAGACGAAGAAGGAAGAGGGAGTGAGGGAAGAGGACGGGTAAGAAAAAGGAAGCTGGGGAGGAGGACGAAGAAGAGGAAAAGAGAGAGAGAGCCAAAGATGTGGAAGAGACGGAAGAGAGCGAAGGAGGAAAAGAGAGGGAGGAAGACAAGTAAGAAAGAGGAAAAGAGGGAGGAAGACAAGCAAGAAAGAGGAAAAGAGGGAGGATGACGAAGAGGAGAAGAAGAAGCGAAAGGAAAGAGGAGATAAGAGAGAAACTCAAATAAAGCAGGAGAACGGGGAAAACTAATAAAAGGAGAAAAAAAAGAAAAACAACAAAGAAAAACAACAACTAAAAACAAGACGAAAGCGAAGGTGGGAAGAGAGGGGAAACAGGAGAACGGGAAAACTAATAAAATGAGAAAAAAAAAAGAAAAAACAAGAAAAACAAGACGAAAGCGAAGGTGGGAAGAGAGGGGAAACAGGAGAACGGGAAAACTAATAAAATGAGAAAAAAAAAGAAAAAATAAGAAAAACAAGACGAAAGCGAAGGTGGGAAGAGAAGGGAAGGGGTAAAAGCAGATGGGGAGGCGAAGGGGAAGGGGGGAAGGGGGGGGAGGGGAACATCGAACCCTCCTCAACGTCACCTCTTTATCAGCCGACCGCATGTTCGACGGGGAAGGGGGGGGGGGGGGGAACACCAACAAATCTCTCGCCGGAAGAGGGAGAAAGAGAGAGAGGGAAGAAACGTGAAAGAAGGAGAGGGAGATGAAGAGAGGAAGAGGGAGAACGGAGAACGAAAGGGCACCCGGGGAAGAAGAAGGAGATGAAGAGAGGAAGAGGGAGAAAGAGAGAGAGAAGAAAAGTGAAAGAGGCAAAGGAAGATGAAGCGAGGAAGAGGGAGAAAGAGAGAGAGAGAAGAAATATGAAAGAAGCAGACAGAGATGAAAAGAAGAAGAGGGAGAAAGAGAGAGAGAAGAAAAGCGAAAAAAAACAGAGGGAGAGGAAGAGAGGAGGAGAGAGAGAGGAGAACGAAGGGGCACCCAGGAAATATCTCAACGGCATTAGTGAGAAAGAGAGAGGGAGAAGAAGGCGATGAAGAGAGGA